GGTGTGGTGGCACACACCTTTAATCTCAGCACTTGGGAGGCAGAGGCGGTGGATCTCTGTCAGATCCAAGACTTCCTGGTTTGCATAGGGAGCTCCAGGACAGCTGGGGTACAGGAAGAGTCTGTCTCAAAAAAAAAAAAAAATGACATATTCATCTTTATTTCACATAGCACTAAAAACTGGTCATTGATACTATACTTGTTCTTAGCCAAAAGGAGAAGCAGCAATGAAAAAGGAGGAGGGGAGAAGGGGGTGGGAGACGGGGAGGGGAGAGGGAGAAAAATTTTTTTAGAACTGCCATTGAAATAAAAACCTGTTGGGAAAAAACTTAACACTTTTACCATAACAATATAGCAAACTAAACACAAAGAGACTGCAAGAAAGGGGGCGGATTTTAGTTTGTTAAAACAGACCTCAAAGCAAATGAGAACAGGAGTACCCTGGCGGGAGACACCTAGACAAATGCCTCTGAATCTGGAAAGCAACCCCATTCAGAGTGTATAAATACTAGAGCTGGAGCTATAAAATGCCCCCAGCTCTTCTCATCCCCTAGGCCTTTTTTAAAAATTCTATTTATTTTTATTTTGAAGATTAAAAGATTATCAGCCTACAAAGTAGATCAATATATGAATATTACCCTATAAAGGAGCCGAGCGTGGTGGTGCACGACTTTAATCCCAGCTCTCAGGAGGCAGAGGCAAGTGGATCTTTGTGGGTTCGAGGCCAGCCTGGTCTACATAGCGAGTTCCAGGCCAACTGGGGCTCCAAGGAGACCCTGTCTCAAAAAGATAAAATCACTTAATCCAGTCCCCTAACTTCAGGGGATGGAAAAAGACATCACTTTCATAAGGCTAGAGAGCACAGTGCTAACTAAAACCCAGTCAGTCCTAATTCTCTACAGCCAGGAACCAACATATAAACTACATGCAACCGGAAACGCCAGGTGCAACCACTGGGCACAGAGAATTCAGAAGCTCACAACAGAGCCTGCTCCGAACCTGCATGTTCTCCTTGATCCGCTTCTCAGCAAAACTCTTGGCTACAATCACCACCCCACGCTGCAGCAGATAACGGAGGGAAATCAGGGCAGGAGTTCGTTTGTGCTTTTCTGCCATGGCGCAAAGAACTGGGTCTTCCAAGAGAAACGGAGCGTTCTCGTCAATCCTGGAAAGAAGGGAATGAGGATTGCTTCAGGCTGAGTGTTTACTTTGGACGTGTCTTTCGAAACAGAATGAGGTGCCCATCTAGACCCGAGACTCTCAAATGTGGCCCCTAAGCCAGTAACGTTAGTATCACCTGGAATCTATTCAGAAATCCAAACTCCCCCTCCTCCCTGAGCCAGGCGAGTTAATTCCAGAAAGTTCAAGATTGCAAGATATTCCATCCAATGCATCTTCGATACGTTTGTATTGTCCTTATTACCAATTCTTATATCGTTGGGTGCCCAGAGCACCATAGGCAACCAGAACAATGTCTTTTGATTTGCAGTAATCTAGTAGCTTGCTCTGGTTAAGATAAGGATGGCATTCTACCTGTGAGTGGACAAGATAAAAAAGGAATCAGATTATATGAAATCTCAGAGT